CAGGAGAATTACAGAAATTTGGCTTTTTCTCAGTGGCCACATGCCTTCTGTTGTTGCTAACAGTTCATTCATTACCAAAGCCTGTCTGTGACATTGCCTTGTTCTGTTTTCATCTTCTTGCTCATGTTATTTCCCCCAGGAATTAGCAATTTGACTTCTGTCATCATATTTATAATTCTGTTGGCTCAAAATGGGTTTTGTCTACCTTACATAATGTGTCTTTGTCTGAAGGTTGTCTGTAGTCCAAGAGTATTTACCTAAAAATGTCTAAACAGCCACTAAGAGCCTTTAGTAGAGGGAAGGAGATACCATTACCAGAGTGATAACTGCTTCTCAAACATCCTTTTGGAGTGCTTCCAACATTGGGAAGTTTGTAGGAGAGCTTTATTTTGAACTTTTTTAGTTGGACAGAAGAGTTCTGCCTCACTGAACTGCTTTGGAGCTCTGATAAAGAACATCCGTGTTCAGTGTGAGTTTTGCAGGCCACAAAGTGTCCATCTCAGAGGGACGTGTCTCAGAATGCCTTGTATTTGCTTCTCTCCACTTTCAAAATCAGTCATCTTCTCATCTTGTGTATAAGAAAATTTTAGAAGCTGTGGACAGTTTAATTGACTGATTTGGCAGCACTGACTTTATGACAGGAAATATTTTGTGTGCTGTTTTCTTTGAGGAGGATGTAATTATCGATATCCTAGAATGTGAAATTTTTGAGTGACAGTATGTACATTTTAAAGAAAATTATGATTTGTTAATTTTAGAAGTTTATAATATTTATAATTTATTTAGTCTGTAAAAATTATGAAAAAGAGATACCATTACCAGAGTGATAACTGCTTCTCAAACATCCTTTCGGAGTGCTTCCAACATTGGGAAGTTTGTAGGAGAGCTTTATTTTGAACTTTTTTAGTTGGACAGAAGAGTTCTGCCTCACTGAACTGCTTTGGAGCTCTGATAAAGAACATCCGTGTTCAGTGTGAGTTTTGCAGGCCACAAAGTGTCCATCTCAGAGGGACGTGTCTCAGAATGCCTTGTATTTGCTTCTCTCCACTTTCAAAATCAGTCATCTTCTCATCTTGTGTATAAGAAAATTTTAGAAGCTGTGGACAGTTTAATTGACTGATTTGGCAGCACTGACTTTATGACAGGAAATATTTTGTGTGCTGTTTTCTTTGAGGAGGATGTAATTATCGATATCCTAGAATGTGAAATTTTTGAGTGACAGTATGTACATTTTAAAGAAAATTATGATTTGTTAATTTTAGAAGTTTATAATATTTATAATTTATTTAGTCTGTAAAAATTATGAAAAATAAAATCAATCTTTGGTTATCATTGATAAGAATCTGAATTACAGGGCTATCCCGCAGTCTTGTATTCAGTTAAAATTGATGTAGACATTTATGCCTGATGTCATCTCATTTATTTGACACTGTAACCTGATTACCAGAGACGGTCAGGAAAAGTGCTTCCTCTTTAACTCCTTCAGGCTTAACATTAAAGGTTTACTCATCTCCTAGGTTCCTGCAAGAAGCTAAAGCTTTAAAGATACTGAGATAGTTGAGATCATGACAACACTGCTGTGGCCCCCTGGGAGAGAAGGGTAGCAGATGGACAAACCTGCCCTTGACTTGTAGGAGTAACAAGCCTTTGCTTGAAAAAACTGTTGGCCTCCAGAAAGCGCGGGGCTGCAGTTTCAGAGAAAGGGATGGGTGCTGCATGTCGATATTGGGATCCAGCAAGGCCAAGGCCTGCCTTGTGGGCCGAGCAGTGTGGAAGGTGAACTGCTGCACACTCTGGCCCATCCTGCACAGTGGTATCTGGCTCTGATAAGGCTGTCCAGCAGCTTCCTGGGAGCAGGAGGAGGCAGCGTTCTGGTCTCAATGGAAAGTGCCTTTTTGCTTCTCCATTCATCACTTCCCACCCTACAATGCACAGATGGGTCACAGAAGCAGACTTGGTTCCCCATCTCCCCGCTCCACCGCCTAACTAGAACAAGTGAAGGTCAGAAAGCTGGAAGGCACAGGATGTTAAATGGTAGAGGTCCTGCTGGATATGTCTGCACAGTGTAGCAGTAGCCGGTGGAGCCAGGACTCGCCCGTACCTGGTCTCCAAGCTGCTACACACTCCTGACCTCAGCTCCTGCCTAACTAGAACAAGTGAAGGGCAGAAAGCTGGAAGGCACAGGATGTTAAATGGTAGAGGTCCTGCTGGATATGTCTGCACAGTGTAGCAGTAGCCAGTGGAGCCAGGACTCGCCCGTACCTGGTCTCCAAGCTGCTACACACTCCTGACCTCAGCTCCAAAGCATGACTCGCTTCTTAGTTTCATGAGCATTTGGTTGGCTTGGCCACCTCTACCTTCCTGGGGTTGTGCCTGGTCTCTCAGTTCTTTGAGGTTGGGGGAAGGCTAGTCCAGAAAACGGAAACCCACAGACCAGCCTAACTACCTTCATTCAAGTGACAGCCCAAATCAGTGTGTCCATGTTGTACAAGTCAATAGTGTTTACGCTCTTCTTCCTTTTGAATAATACAGTCTTTCATTGGGTTTCTATTCCTAAAATCATTCTGGAACAGGCAGCAAATGTCCTAGAATCATGGACTTTTAAAGCCAGAAGGGGCATTAAAAGTCATCTAGTCCACCTTTCCCTCGGCAGGGATCCTCCAGCCTCTCCTCTGCCCCGTCCAGTGACTGGTAGTTCAGCCCCTGCTGGCAATTCCAGGCTGCCACTGGCGGGCTCTATCTGTAGTTATGCTCACACCGAGCTGAGCTCCTCCTGGCAGCTCTGCCTATTGGTTGTGGTTCTGCCTGCAGCAGTCCAGGCTGGGCTGCTCTCCTACCCCCTCATGACACATCTTCAGATATTCTTAGCTCTCGTCACTTCCTGCCCCCACCGGCTTCCCCACCACTTAGTCCTCTTCAGGCTAAATGCCCCAATGTCTGCAGTTAGTCCTCTTCCACCACATGTCCAACAGGGCTGCACTTTTAATCCATGTTATCCTAAAAGGGATGTGCCCAGGCTGAGCAGGCCAGGACTATGGCGAGATGAGTGAGATGCCTAGGGCACACATTCAAGCAGGCATATGCTTGCAGGTGCCAAGAGAGGGTGCTTGTCACATCCTGTGCCCTTGGTGCCTCACTTGCCTTATGCTGTCCCTGGCTTGGGATGACAGTCACACCAGTGTGGACACTTGGGTGGCACTGGCTTTCAGTAGCTGTGACTTGTGGTTGGCATATTAAACTAGTGGCGATTTCAAATTCCAGACCTCAATTTAATATGTTGCTGCTGAAGACTAGTCTCATGCCGTATCTGCAGGATGGGCCTAACAATAAGGCACTTTGCACTCGATCCTTTACTACTGTCTGCTCTTCATTTTGGGCCAACTTACATCTTATTTTGAGGTAGTAGCTGATTGTTTTTCTGGTCAGTTAACTTTGTCTTATTAAGCAAAATGGAGAATACGATGTTGGGAAATAAGCACGTGTCGCTTTTTAAAAAAGTGTTCCCTTCTGTGCTCTTCCATTTGCATGCTGGGGACAGTTACCGCCTTACAGCCAGGCACTAGTGCTGACTTTGTTCTAGTCCGTGAGCATACTCTGGGTTCTAGGCTGCCTCAGGCCTCATGTGTCCTGCAGCAGCTGTGTTTGAAATTTCTTTCACTCTGGATGGGTTCCTGCTTCCTGATGACAATAACTTGAAAATTAAACTACTAATCCTATTTTGAGATAATGAAATCACGAAGAAGTGTTATTTTTATTGTACTTATTGTACTTATTTTTTAATGTACAGATATCTTTCATTGAGCATTGAGAGTTAGAATTTATTCTTTCAAATGGTTTAAAATGACTTATGTGGAGACAAACACTTTTTAAGTGTGTTCAATTCTTCCTTCCTACATGTCTAGTGTGCACTTTAAAAACCACAACTTTATTTTGGTCATTAAATGTGCAATATTCAGCATTTTATGTACTTGTGTAAAGTATGAGTTTTTATATAATGGTGAGAAATAGGAAAAAATGAGAATGGGTTAAGTAAAATTCTGCAAATAAACTAGGTTCAAATTTAATTTACAACATGGCAGGTCTGTCTTGTTGCTTTTGGCAAGTTGGTTGGTCTTTTCATACATAAACCACACTAAGAAAAGTTTTAAATTAGAAAGCTTGTAATGGGTAGAATATTCTGTTTCATTATAATGGGTGAGGCCTCTAATTTCAAAGAGAATTTATAACTTGGGCATTTAAGAATTGGCATAGACAGGAGGCCACCTGGTAATCCCAGAGAAGTCAAGAGAGCCTCCCTCAGGTCTGTCATGTCACCTCAACTTTGGTAGGAAGAGAACCATAAAATTGCACAGAGGCTCCCAGCCTGAGTTGTGATGGGGTGGGGGCTGGGGGTGCCTCTGGGAGGGGAGAGCTATCTGGAGGCCAGTGTAACCTGAGCTTGGTCAAGTTCTGTTGGAGAAATCCACCTTCAGCATTGGGAAGCCAGGCAGTTCCTCTTTAGTGTTAATTTCATTAACATTTGTAAGACACCTTGAATGTGCCAAGGTGTGGTAGGAGGGCTGCACATTCAATTTGGGTTTAACATCAGTTTGGGATTCCCCAGGGACAGGACCTTTTAAGTGTGGGGTGTGCCTCCCCATCCTTGTCTGGGTGTGGCTTCTTTTTCCAGATAGAGCCATGAGACTGAAGGGTGGGAAAGTGGCACATTGTCCCACCTCCTTTTAGAGTAGGAATCAAGTTCATCATCTCCAGACCAGTAGGCATTTTTGTAGGGACACTCCCCTAAAGAAACACCACTTGGAGGTGGTCCGTGCTGCCATGAGGCAACTCAGAAAAGGTCTTCATCTAATGATGAAGGAGCTCAGATCTTCCAAAAATTGCTTTTCTTCTGAAGACAGACCTCTTTCCTCCTGGTCTTCGTTTGCCTAAACCTTCTTAGGAAAGAGACCCACCTTCCTGGTCATAGTAAACCAAAATGGACTCTGGCCTGGACACCATGTTTTAATATACCCTTAAATTTGTAGCTTAGGCCAGATTTCCCTTGCAATCTCCCAGCCTTCCCTGTTTGACTTTCCTTCTGCTGCTTCCTCAATATTTCTTAAGGGCCCTCATTCTACTACCTCCACTTTCCCTTCCTCTGTGTCCTTAGTTTCCCTTACCCCACCCCCTCCCTCCTCCTCAACCTTCAGGTCACAGCTGCTTCTGGTGAAAGTGTGGGGCCAATGTCTCCACGAGGACTCTCCTGGGAAATCTTCAGCTCTGGGGGCCCTTTGAGATCACAAGCAGACAGGACTTGGGATAGGCTGTGGAGGACAAGGTCTGGGGTCCTAAACCCTGGAACTTACTACTGCTTAAACATCATGCTGTGTCCAAAACAAAGGGTCTTTGCTCAGACTGTCCCTTCTGCTCAGAATGCCCTTATTTTGCCTCCCAACCTCCATTCTCTGCCATGGCTTCCCCCGTTTGCACGGCCAATGTTGCAGCATCTCCATGTGTCCTCCCCTCCTCCAGGAAGCCTTCCCAAAACAGGGTCACTTACCCATTTTATGTGCTCCCACAGAGCCCCTAGCTACTTCTTCTGGCCAGTGAACTATGAGCACAAGTGGAAGGCCCTCCAGAGCTTTTTTTTACCTCCAACCCAGAAATCCACAACATTAGAGATGGTGGATCCCTGGGAGCTGGGTCCCAAGTAACAACAATAAGCAAAGACCACCTTGCTGATCTGTGATGGGCATGTAGCTTTGATTTGGGGCTTGTTATCATAGCACAGCCTAGCCCACCCTGACTGACACACATGCCTTATTCATGTTTGTATACCTGAACAGCTTGCCCAATTCCTAGCATAAAGCAGACACATAAGGAATAATTCATATCACATTTTTTCTTGGCTGTGCCACTGGCCTGAAAGACCAAGCAGATGTTCCAACACACATTACTCCTATGTCCTTAACTTCTTCCTTGGTGACAGGACTCTCCAGGAAGGTGTCCAGGAGTATCCCTGTACAAGGAGGTACAATTGCCAACTCCTCTGACCTCTTAACAGCTCAGACAGGCTTCTGATTGGATCCCAAGTCAACCATGAGCTGCCATCACAAACGTGCCCTGGAGAAGGCTCTGGCAAGGAGAGAAGCCTTTTAACGTACTGTCCTGCTTAGTAACTTGAGAAGATCTCTCAACCTTTGGGCCATCTCCCCAGAAAAGCATCATAGCCTCTTTAGTTCCCTATCCTGTATCCCCTTATCTCTTGCCAGCCCACCAGGGTCCCAGGCACCCCTTCTCTCCCAGGAGCTAATATGATCAACACATTCACACTGAAGTATAAATTGGGAAGGCAGCATCCCCAAAGTCAGCCTGCCTAGACTTGGGCAAATGGGCTGAAATTGCCAGTGCTTTTGGACTTTGCACATCCTGGGAAGATGTAGGTCATGCAAAGTGGTCACAGCTGTCGCTGCTTTACCCTTGAGGACCCTGCAGCCCAGTCTTCCCCTCAGGTCTCCCAGTTTTCAGTCCTTTAGGCAGTGGTTTGTAGATTCTTTGAGATGATGGGTGTTTGGTTTCCTTTTCTCAGGAGTCCCAGCTCAAGGCAGTGTGGAGCAGCCAATGTGCTGAGAAGTGAGCAGAGGGGTGGAACAGTCACAGTGGAGACCCAGGAGGCAGGACTCCAGGCCTCTCTGCATTGCTGAGTTTCCAGGATTTGATGTTCCTCTGATCGCAGGTCTGCACACCCCCAGCCCCAGGCTTGCTCTCTATAACCTGTTCTCCGCAAGGTTGATATGGGTGCCACACTTATCCAAGGACTCTGTACATCCAAAGGTCACACATCTTGCAGATGTCTTTGTATTTTCCAAAGCCCCTTCCCATCTGTTGTTTTCTGAGATCTTCATAGTCCTACCAGCCAGGAGAGAAGAATGTTATTGTCCATATTCAACAGTGGGTGAACTGAGACCCAGAGATGTGAAGAAAGTGTCCCAGTCCATACAGCAAGTTGGTGTCAGAGTAGAATGGAAGCTGGGCCTCCAGACCCTCTGACCAGTTTCTTGTCTGCTTGACTATGGTGTTCTAGATAAGGAAGGGTGAGGGGAATTTTCAGAAGTTTCTGGCTGAGGCTCACATGTGCATACCTACATGTACATGCACCTTCTTTCAAACTGCGGCCCCACTGGCATAAGTATCATGGGGCCCCGAGACAGATGTCCATGTAGGAGACCAGCTGAACCTCTGTGAGCAAGGTCCGACGCCCTTGGGTGTTGCCTGGATAGGGGCTGCCAAGGTGCTCAAGAACAAGAAGGGCCATAGGAGCCTCACCCCAGTCTTCATTCCTCACAGCGCACAAATGGATGCTGGTGGCCGAGGGGTGCCTAACGGGGAACACGCAGTGGCCGGTCGGCGCTGGGGGTTCATCTGACTCAAATTTTCATAACTGGACTCCTGAGCCTGGGGCCTGCAGACAGGAAAAAGTTGACTGACCACCTGATACAGAGGGGAGGTCCTGACTGCCCACACCGTACCCAAGCAATGGGCCAGGAAGGGGAGATGAGATGGGGGCTGTGGGGCTACAACCAGCAGGGCTTGGAGACCAACAATGTCAGGGGCAGAATCAGGAGCAGGGAGGGGCTGCCATGAGTGACAGCATCCAGACTGCACAGTTTCTCCCTTCTTGAAGGGGTCTTGTATGAGGCTCCAAAACCATCTTCATGTCCCGGACCTCTAGACTGATGTCTCCAGGCCTGACCTCCTTCCTGATTCTCTCCTGGGACTTCCTAATGGCCATCTCAAACCTAAATGTCCACCATACTTTGCATGATCCTGACACCTCACCTACTCTCTTCTCCCCTCTGCATCCCAGTAGTGGCACCCAGGGCTCAGGCTCTAGCCCTGGGCATCCTGGCTCCTGCCTCACAGCGTGCTGCCCACAGCTCTCCCACCTCTCCCACCGCTCCCACTGCTGCCTGTGACCAAGGGGCCAGGACAGCCTCGGCCTTGCCAGCAGCCTCCTCCCAGGTCTCCCGGACCCTCTTGTTCACTCATCTGCTTAAAACCACTTGCTGACTTCCTGTCACACTCAGAACAACTGCCACAGTGTGCCTGCCCTCCCTGTGCCCCACGCTCCAGCCATGCCCGCCTCCTTCCTGGGTCTCACCTGGGCCTTTCTACAGCCTTTCCCCTTCTTGGATTGTCTCCCCCCCGCCCAGGCCCCAGCCTCCGTCTTCAGGTCCCCTCAGTGTCATGCCCTCAGAACATACTGATCTAAAGGAGCCCAGTGGCCACCCTGTCACTAGGGAATCTGCTTCACCACCATGTCCATTTCCTTTCCAGCTCTTATTTTACAGTCTAAGATGATCTTGTTTATGTGTTCATTAAAATTCTCCACGTTGGAATGTGAGTTCTGCGAGGTCAGGTATTTTGCTCTGTCTTTAATATTCAAACCAGTGTCTGACATTTGTTATATGACTGAACCACAGTCTGCTTTCTGATTCAGGAGCCTTGGTGTGGCAGTAAATTAGCAAAGAAAAGGCCCCAGCCGGTCCCTTTGCCTGTTCTTTCTCCTCATGTCACCGCCCTGAGAAGCCTGTAACACTTGGTCAATGGGGACTAGATGGGGTGGGGTGGGGTGAAGGCAGGGAGTGCACTTACCGTGGAGGGGTGCCCTGGGTGGCCAGATGCTCTGTGGGAGGGACAGAAAGAGAGGAGGCATAAATCTCCATTGTCCCCTCCAGTCTGCATGCCCGCCGCCCACCCCACCCCACAGGGGAAAGTGGTCTCAAGGAAATGTGCCACAGACAGCAGATTAGCAGAGTGTGAAGCAGTGACACTGAAGCCTCGACCCGAAAGATGACCAGGGGGTGACTGTGAAAAGGGTGGAGCGAGGAGTGGTCCTATAGAAAAAAACGCCTTTCTGGGGACTCCGAAGCACAAAATACTTGGCGAGTTTGAAGAACTGGCAAGAAAGCCAGTGCGGCCACAGCAGAGGCAGCATCCAGGATGACTGTGACAAATCTTGGATTTCGTCCTGGGAGAGCTTGAGGCTAGTGCTATTGACCTGGAAGGTCTGAAAGGCTCTGGGAAGCCCCCTTCCTCTCTAGGGTACAGAGTGAATTTCCCATGCAGTTCAGCGACACGTGACAGCTTTCTAAGGACCCTCTGCTAGTTCAAGCTGCCACACCTTTGCACAGGCCGTTTCCTCTGCTAGAAACAACATTGGTTCTGTTTTCCCAGCTCATGCCTACTTGTATTTTTTTGTTTAGTGCTCACCTCCCTTCTTGTGTAAAGCCTTCCCTCTCCTGACGCCCCACCAGAGAGAGGCACTGTCCTCTGGCTTCTGCAGAACCTGGGGCCTAGGAGAGCACTTCTCACAGCATATTGCAATGATCTGCTTACTCCTCAGCATCCCATCCGGAGGGCAGTGACCTGCTCTTATTCGTTTTTCTACTCCCAGGTCTATGCAGCACGTGGTAGGCCCTCGGGATGTTGGTTGTAACATAATGGAATGGTGCTATTTGGGAAAGTTTGTGGTTGGGACCCTTACAAATCCCTTACATTTACTGGGTTGTGGTAAAGGGGCCGGCTCCAGAGCTAGCTAGACACCTCTGGGTCTCTGTGGCTCTAGGCAAAAGTTACTTAATCTGTCTGAGCCTCAGCTTCCTTATTGGAAATTGAAGCTCACTCTGGTTCCCACCTGCAGGGAGAGGAAAGTGAGATGATGCAGAGGTGCAAAAAGGACATTCTGGCTGTGTCATGCCAGGTGGTCAGCCAGATGGTCTTCCTAACAGGAGAGCCCCGGCCCCGCCCCTCGCTCCCACCCGGGTCTGGAGCGCACCCACCTAGACTGCGGCGGGTGGCGTGAACAGCCAGGACCCCAAGCAGCAGCAGCGCCTTGAGACCGAGTGCGCCCAGCAGGAGGGCGATCGCCGAGGCCCCTGTGGCGCCGTGGAAGCGGAACAAGTAGACGCTGGCCTCGGCGCGGCCCAGGCTGTTGGCGGCTGTACACGTGTAGCGGCCGTCGTGGGTCAGCGCGGGCAGCTCGGCGGTCACCTGGTGGCCGTGACTCTGACCCGGCACGGCAGCCGAGCCGTTGCCCAGCGAGGGCCCGGACCAGGCGAGGGCGGGCAGCGGCTCCCCTTCGGCCGTGCAGAGCGCGCGGAAGGCATGCGCGGGGCCCGGCAGCACCGAGATATTGACGATCCGCGGCGCAGCTGCTCAAGGAGAAGGCGAGCGACGGTCACCCAGCGGCGGTCAAGGCACACGGAGGCAGGGGGCGAGAAAGCAGACTGCAGTGAGCCAGCGGGCAAAGCAAAGGGTACCCCTCCCCTCAGCCCACCGGGCGCGAGAGCTAGAGGAGTGGGGTGGGGGGCTCGGAGAGGAAGGAGTGGGCACTCGCGCGCCAGGCCGTCTGGGTCCCAATACAGGTATGGCCTTAAGCCAGCTAGTCCACCTCTAGGTGCCTCGGTTTCTCCATGTGTAAAATAAGGATCCTAACAGCACTTCCTTATGGTGTTATTGAAAAGATATCGCAAATTAATCCTTCTGGGGTGTTCGGTCTAGGGCCTGGCCTTGTATAGCAAGTGCTCACTAAGCGGTCATCATTGTTGCAGTGCGCGGTTGGGGCCAGAATGGAGAACCACTGCCCTAGGGACGGGGACCCTGGTCCAGGCATCTTTATATCTCTGGGTCTAGCAATCTGTTGGGCACTTGGTGGGCTCCTTGTGCACCCCTCGAGGGGCTGCGCGTGTCGTTCAGTGCGGGTAGCACACATTCCATTGCAGCCCTTGCCATATTTAGGCTCATTGTCCACTCGTTTTTCTCTCCCCTTCTCTGCGACCTAGTCGGGACAGTCACTCTCTACGAGCTTCATTACAATGTTTATTCCGGGTCCTTCCCAGCCCTCCCTGGGACCAGGATTCTGCATTTTTGCCGAGTTCCCAGGTGGCCCTTAATCACCCCCAGGTTTGAGATCCCCGGGGGTGGAGGAGAGGGGTTGGATGTGGTTGCCCTTGCTATCGCAGCGGCGGGCACAGCGCCTGGCATCCAGCGAACCCTCGGGCCAGGGAGGGGAGGAAGGGGGGCCCGCGCCCGCCCCGGCCGCACGCCTCACCGCTCACGCGCAGCCGGACGCCGTGGCGGCTCTCGTAGCGGTCGTGGACGTCGCCGGCGAACTCCACGCGGCAGAAGTAGCGGCCGTCGTCGGCCAGCGCCAGGCGCTCGATGCGCAGCGAGAGGTCGCCGCAGCGCGGGTTGCCCAGCAGCCGGAGGCGGCCGTGCCGGCTCAGCGCCGTCTGGCACAGCTCGCTGCCGCGCGCCGCCGCGCACCGGAACACC